GGGGGTGGGTGGAAATGGGGAGGCATGAAAATATTTGATGCAGTTTTCAGGTCACTGGAACATATAGATTGGTAATTCCATCCTGGCCCATAGGGACTCATGTTGTCAATATATGAAAAGACATACATGTTCCACTATGCTTATCAACCCCAACATCCAACAAAGCCTAATAAATAGCCCCCCAAAAGGTACAAATTTCTTTGAACTTTATTGATACACTGCACAATCACAACCATCTCTTATTCATCCTGAATTAGAAAAGGTTACAACTACAATGTAACATGCACAAAAATTCAGGTAGTATATTCACCCTTAATACAATTATTGACAAAAAAAAGACTTCATTGTTTTTTTTTGAAATAAGAAAAAACAGGAAAACTAAAATAAAAAAGTAAACCAAATCAAAATAACCCTAGAAGGCTGACAAAGATATACTCTTGTTTCTGTTTGATAAATTTTTAAAGCATTTGAACGTAGATTTGTTTTTAAGGATAATTGTGAGAATGTGCACACCCATATTCTGACAGCTAGAACTGCACCATTGATAAGTCATAGAGAACTTTGTTAAAATCTAAAGAAAGACTCAGAACTGGACAGATACATTTTCATACACCCACACATTCCTCACAACTGCACTTGACATGTCACAAAAATTTTTGAATGTTTAAAAATGCTCCCCATGAGTGATACAATGGGCGGCGATTCCTGTTTCATCATAATCATTTTTATCACCATTGTCATCAACTCTACTTCTGCTAGATAATGTTGACGGTGGCTCAAGAGGACTCTAAGGGTTTCATGATCCTACCTTCTTCACCTAGGGCTATTGACAGTCATCTGAATAATTCTGGGGCCCAATAAAGAGAAGTCCTTTAAACAGAAGTCCTTTTAAAAAGCCCTCAAAAGAGCTGAGCATAGTCAACTATTACTTTTGGGATGGAGACAATTGTGCCTGATTAAGTCCACTTCACTTTACTTGAGATTCTGGATATTTTGCACCTGAAAGCCATCCTGAACTGTTTAAATATCTTTTTGCCCCATCTTTTAATTGCAAATGTAATTCTTCCTCCTTTAATTTACTTCTCTTCTTTTCTCAAGCAATGTAGGAAATGAGACTGGCTTTTTTTTTTGCTCATTTGTTTGTTTTTAGTGATCATTAGGACTTTTTATCATGCGGTATATGTTAGAAAATGTTGCCTTCCAAACTGCATACCTGTGAGGTTTTCCAGCATTTCCTCCAGTTAGTGTGTCTTGGAGAAGAGGCTGGAGGGAGGGTGGCAGCAAGTGGCAGACAGGTTGGGTGGAGGGGGGTATCATGGAATGTCATGGTCAATGAAATTAGAAAGGTCCCAGGACTAGGAGTTATGCAGAGAACAAAAACAAAGAAGGAGGGGAAAATGTATTTCATCAAAAAGCAAAACTTCTAGCTACTTCCCCTGATTACATATATATATAAAGATATGGAGATTCATTTTTGTTTGGCTTGTTTCAGCTATTTAAAAGCCAGTTTCTCCCTGGTGACAGCTCAGTGTCAAATTGGGGAAGATGCTTTCCCCCACCCTTCCCCACTCCTCCCCCTCCTTCCTGTGATAATGTTGGCAAGGGCCACACAACAGCTGCAGAAGAGAAGACATTTCAGCTGGGAGCATCACTCCTCTCTTTCATATTTTGTGTATAAAGACTTGATGCAGTGACAATTCTATGCTCCCCATGGGGCTGTATTCCTTGGTGTTCTCTGCTCTTCTCCAGCTCGGAATTTCTTCTGACCTCAGGTATAAATGTGCTAACCTCCTTTAGGTGGAGAACAAGATGATTGGGCAGGTCCTGAAACGGGCCTTTCTACATCTGATATGGATCTGCTTGGCCTAGAGTCCTGGAGCGTGCCCCTCACCCAAAGTTCAATGCTGGTCCGCTCCTGAGATGAAACCACCACCCAAGCAGTGGAGTGCTGTCGTCCGAGGTCTGGTCTGGGCTGCAGGGGAAGAGACTTAGGCATCCTTCAGATACTAAAGTCTGTCATTTCCCTTTGTTTAGATGAACACTAACAGATCAGAGCAATAATGCCCAATACTCTAAGCTTAAAATATGTGCATGTTTCTAGGACCCTCCCTCTCCCTCCCCCCCAAAAAAGAAAACCCAGAAAAAGAAAACACACTTAGACTTGTGGATGACTGTATCAGGCACTTGACATTAAACTACAGAAGAACAAGCTTGGCATTAGCCTTACCACGAGCACTTTCATTGACATTACTTTGGTGGAAGTGTTAAACTTTGCTTTGGGAAAAGGGAATGAGAGCTTCTTAGATTCATTGCTGAATTCCACTTGGTCTCATCTGCATTATTTGTCTTTTTTGTCTCCTATTTGACAAAATGGGAATGGGATACTGGCTGGTCAAGAACTTGCATTAATATCAATGTCTGCATCCCCTTGCTCTTCCATTTGCAACCTTGGGCCCAATCTGGCCAAAAGGCTTAAGGATTCTTTCTGCAGAACTAAAAGCCATACAGAAGGAGTAAAATGCTCTATGAGTGAAAAAATGGCAAGGGGAGTACTTATCCTCTATGTCTTACCATATTTTTGAGACATCTATTGTCTAGAGGTGTCATCACCACCAAAGTTAAATTAACAAAGCAGAAAACCATGAAAGTATCTTCTAGAAGAAACATCATTGTCCTTCCCAATGGTCCATTGTCACAAGCCTCCCTCACCTGTTCTCCCATGGATGGTGGTGATAAGAACAGCTTTTAATCTGTTTCCTGACTTCCCCTCCCCCCCCCCCCCCGATCTCGAGTGCCTGGGATGGGAGATAGAAGGTGGGTGTTTACTGTGGTCTTGTCTTTTGGAAAGTACTATCACTAGGAAGTGGCTTCTAGATGACAGATTTATTTTAAGCCACAGCAACTCATAAGACTACCCACCAAGGCATGGATGGGATGTAATTCACATTATTGGAAGGATAATTCACAAAGATGATGTTATGGATCCTCAATTTAAGTGTAGCAAGAGGGCAGGCCATCAAGTGGTAAAAGGGAGAAGGTATGGAGATAATCATTCCAGATCATATTTCTGGGGATGCTTTAAGTACTCCCTCACTAAGAGGCATAGGGAATCCTTTTAGAAGGAAAAGTGAAAGTCCAACAGAAAACACACAGCATGGATATTCAAGAATTATGCCATCAAGGACTACTTCTCTCTTCCTGCCCTACTCCCAACATATATGCTTAGCTCCTAAACAATGTCTCTACTTTATCAATATGGCACTCAGATATTCTGCATAAGACATGTCTTACTGTGACCTTACTTATTCAGGTATCTGTATTGAGCAATTTGAAATGCTTATGTCTGACCTTCAATTCCAACCTCATACCTGCTCACTAGATGTCCCTGGGAACTTGGAACAGATAGAAAACTGTTGGCAAATCACATGTTCCTGGAATCTGTCTCCTGGCAGTTGTCTTTTTCTTGTTGTTTGAGAGAACTAAAATTCCATTCACAACAATTGACCTTCACTAGAGTGCCTGGCATTTTGTGCACTGAAAATGCCTAAGGAGGTGGAAGGTGCGTGGATAGATTTTCTCACTTTATATGTCATGATCAGGAGCTGACACAGACAAAACTGAAGAGGCAGCTTGTGATGGTGGGGGAAGAAGAATAAACACTAAGCATTAAGAGCATTTGACAAAATATGCCTTAAGAGCAAGCAGCCCCATCTTTTTTTCAGTTAGGCTGCTAGCATTATACAGCACACTAGGTCGGGGAATGAGTGGAAGAACACGAATGCCAGTGATTTGCACATCCCTCTTGGCAGTACCCTAAGTATCTAAAGAGAGATCTAACTCAGGGTCATTTTTATTGCTATCCTTTTTGGATCCTGGAACACAGGATGGCCAAATCCTGATTGCCCCAGGAGATGGCCCAAGAAAGTACAGACATAAAAGTTCATCTCTTGTGTGGAATCTGGGTCAGCTACAATACAGAGAAAAGGGAGATGGTGCTAAACTTCCTCAAGGCCCCTGGAGGGAGAAGCCCCACCAAAAGAGGAAATGTGTGTGACACATATTTTCCCCTTCTGTTTGCAGTTGGGTTAATCAAGTGCTTGGAAATTAAGTCAGTCGCTCAAGTGCCCTCTGCTCAGAAAAGCTTCCAAAACAAATATGAGCGCTGTCAACACACCAGCCCTGTAATTGGACTCTATCAGCTTTTAACTGGAGAGTTTTCAAACAGTCCAAACCCGAACTGAAGCAGATTGGAGACACTAACTGAGGTGCTAAAGTTCAGACTGGTTGAATGATGTGTTCACATTGCAAAGGCCCGTGTCTTATATATGTGGTTTTTTTCTTATGATAGGGAATATAGATGCCCTGGATTTGGTAAAATAGGATCATAATGTGTGTTTCCTTGAAGGGTAGAAAAGCACATGTATTTCTGATGACTGGCATCTTGGTCATTCAAATCCTAAAGGAAGATATCATGCTAGTTAGTTAAGGTACTCATGGGACTCATCTGTGTCTAGGGAAGAGAATGCTTTACTGTGTAGTAAGTGATGGATTCCTACTAGAACTCATGGGCTATCATAGCCTACTTTTGGTGAATAGGATGCCACATTCTCAAATGTCCATGTGATTGGATATTGCTTATCTTTCTGGTCAATCTGAGAAAATTGGCTTTCACATGCAAAGGTGGTATGTAACTGAGAAAACAAAATTTTTTTTAGGGTAGGTTGATTTGAGAAAGAAATGAGAAGAAAGATGGACATTAGGTGATTAGAGATGATTATAGTGATAGATGAGTAAGAGTAGAGAAGGAGAGACTTGGAGAGAAATGTAGATAATTACATTGATAGATTGATAAATAGAGTAAATAGATTGTTAGAGAGAAAGACAGGTGGGTAGATAATTGGATGGATGGATAGACCAGACAAGTTGAATAGATGGATAGTCATAGGATTGCTCTGATTGATAGCTAGATAAGACCCAATGAATCAGCCACCTATTTATTCTTTTTTTTTTTTAAATTGACCAGCCAGGAATTTTTAAAGAAGAAACTCAGCCCCCCAATCTTTTTTCTTCCCATCCACTCAGCTCCAGTTTCCCACACTCCAGAGATTTTCTCTCTCCTTTATCAGATGTGCTTCCACTTTGAGTGGGTTTCACAACCCCCTTGGCCCCACACCTCTATTTGCTACAGGTATTTGAGGTGACGGGTACAGTGCCAAGAGGAGGTGGTAGAATAATATATACGTGTACATATATTAAAAATCCACCCTGATGGGAGAGACAAACCCAATGTCATCAGACACATAACATGGAGTAATTTGTACAGCATAACAAAAAAGGTGACTTGTTAGCTCAAGAGACACAGACGCTAGGACTCTCTGATGTAATTCTTGTCGTGCACTATTTCATGAACTGAGGTGTATCTCTGGGGCATTTACGGGTTCAACTGAAACAGACTTTTTGCCAAAACAGAAGTTATGGGGAAGACAATGGGGAGAGGGGCAGAAGAGAAGGTAGGGCTAAGGGAGAAGAAACAGATTCAATTTCTGAACACACCCATGATTGATTATCCTACACATTGCAGAACCCTCCCCACCCCCTCCCCCCATCCCCACTCATTCAAGCTGAAAAACAAAAACAAAACAAAACTGGTTTGCCCTCCGCAGTGTAGAAGAGTAAAGTCTGTGGTATGGAGAAGCCAGGCGTCGCTCAGAGGACCCTAGGGTTTCTCATCAAAACTTGATGAAGAAGTGGACAAAGAGGGTCCCCGATAGCCAGAGGCATGCCAGTGCTCTGGAGGCAGAGCTTACCCCATCAATGACTGCTCCAGGCCCTGTGGGAGGGGAGAAAGAGAAATGTTTATAATCCAGGAGATGAAGATGTCCACCTCTGTCATTCAATTCAAAGTTAAATACCTTTGCATGCTTCTCCCAGATAGACCTTCTCTTCACCAAGACCTGCTTTCCCAATAAGCCTGGACCCACGTGGTTGTATACCCCACCTTCTCCACAAACTGAAACTATTCAAAAATTCACTATCTCATCTAGCTGATTTGACCACTGGTCAAATCACCTCAAAGATGTGTTTTAGAACAGGCTGATGGGATTACTTTGAGTTCACATGCTGGGTCAAGATAAGGGCAAAGAAGGCATGAAGTATGATTGTGGGTGTAATTTCTTAGCAACCGACATGATCTCCAGTTGTGTGTGTGGCACCCAAGCAAAAGTGAGTATGTATTAGGAAAGTGTGATAGGTGAGTAGATAAGTCCCAGTGTGTTGTGAGAGTCTGGGGGGTAGTGTGAAATGAAGAGCGATAAGGTAACTGAAATGTTTGGGTGGCAATGACATGTTACCATGGAAAAACTAATGCTCTGCCACATTACTCATTGGCAGGGGTTCCTCAGTCTTGGCTTAGAAATTGCAGAAGATTGTGCTATGAAAGGGCAGTTAGGTGGCACAGTGGATAGAGTACCAGGCCTGGAGTCAGGAAGATCTGAGTTCAAATTTGGCCTCAGACACTAACTGTGTGACCCTGGAAAGTCACTTAAACCTGTTTGCCTCAGTTCCCTCATCTGTCAAATGAACTGGAGAAGGAAATGGCAAATCACTTCAGTATCTTTGCCAAGAAAACCCTAGGTTGGATAACAAAGAGTCAGAACAACTGAACAAAACCAAATTCCACAGCAGAAAACGATGAATCAATTATCTCAAGATGAAAAATCTCAAGACTTCTAAAGGAAGTGACCAGATTTATTCTGGTCATCAGTGGAATGTTTGAAGGAGGACCAAGGAAGTCATAACCCAAACTAAAACAAGACACACTCTTTTCCCTGGGAATGTAGTTGCATGGATCAGAAATCTTTCAATACCATTACTCAGAACAGGAAAAAAATAGGATTGAAATTCCAGGGAGAAGTTAATTTCATCTTTTTTAGTTTTGTGCAAGGGTAGCCTTCCTCTTTCCCAACTATATTCCCATTTCTTCATGGGATATTGTCCTATCCCACTACCATCCTGGAAATATCTAAGGCAATTCTGGTCTATTCTGGGCACATACACTGCCCCAGGACAAGTTCAATTACCAGTGTACCCGCTAGGACAATGTGGTTTAATTTGCTGAGAAATGGAGTGATATTGGCATCATGCACAATGGACTCATGTCTACTATGATGCCAGACCAATTTTCTTTCCCCAAATTCTAGAGTTCCAATATGGGCATTCTTTTCTTCTGCTGGGGTGTAATATTTATAATTCTTTCACTTAGCAGAAGGTCATGCTTCCCTGACAATTTAGGAGTTTGTTCCTAGGTTGTCTGTAATGCCATAGGACATTCATATGGAATGTCAGATCGAGGGCCCAAGTATGGCACCATACCACCTGTCAGTGGGTCAGTATATTGGTTCTTCTATTCTAATCCCAACCAATAGGAATTTATGAAGCACTTACTATGTACTATGCTAGGCACTGTGCTATTAAATGAATGGATGGTAGCAAATAGAATTATGTATCACTACATAGTGCCTACGTCGGTATATTTAGCAGAGCAGTTTGGTCACTGTAGAATGTGCTTGGACCTAGAGGCAACTAGGTAGTACAGTGGATAGAGTGGTAGGCCTGCAGTCAAGATGACCCAAGTTCAAATCCAGCCTTAGACACTTACTAGCTGGGTGATCCTGGTCAAATCACCTAATTCCTGTCTGCTTCCATTTCCTCATCTACAAAAGGGATATTATAATAATAGCACCTACCTCCCATGATTGTTGTGAGAATCAAATGAGATAATATTTGCAAAATGCTTAGCACAGTGCTGGCACATAGTAGGTGCTTAACAGATATTTGTTTCTTTCCCACCTAGATACCTAGGGATGTGTTCTGTAAAAATAATATTATTGTTATATTGAATTAATAATAATAATATTAGCTAATAATAGCTAGCATTTATAAATTACCTCAAGGTTTGCAAATATTATTTCTGGGGGTCAATCCTATAAGAATAATTTCAAGTTTGGGAAGAAATTCAAAAAGGTACTACATACTAATCCATCGAGTCTTAGTTTAAGTGCTTCTTTCTCCAGGGGGCCATCCTTGATCATTCCAGCATAAAGTGAACTCTCCTTCCCAAGAACCTTGGTTTCCCTGACTTATAAAATTTAATTATATTCTACTTTGCATGATTGTGTGTGTATATCTATGTATACAACATATATAGATGTATAAATGTACATATACATTTACATATTTGTGCATGTATATATACACACACACACATACACACACACACACACACACACATATGAATTCATTGACTTTTAACTAAAACTTTCCTTTAATTGTTTAGAAACATTATTATGAGAATGGGTCCATAGGCTTTATCAGACTGTCAAAGGGAATGACAACACAAAAACTTTTTTTTAAGAACCTCTGTATCACAGAAAAATTTATGCATGTTTTATTTCTTCTATGAGATGATAAACTCCTTGCATACAGAGAATGCTTACTTATTTTCTTGTTTGTCTACATGACTAAAACAGTGACTTAAAGTCAGTAGGCAATAAATAGCTATTTGCTCAATGAATGAATGAATGATGTGGTTAACTACGAGTGCCATAAAATGTCAGTCTCCACTTTGTTGGATGACACTGGATTATTGGCCACCCATTTGGCTCCATCTTATAGTCTACGATGGTCTTTTTGGGTTAAAAGGACTGCAGAGTCAGGAGAGCCAGGTCTGGTCCTGGTCCCAGTAGCCTCCTAATGGGTCTCTTTACTTCCTGTCTCACCCTTCTCATGGAATCACAGTCAGGATCACAGATTTGGAGCTCAAAGATACCTCAGAGTTATTAACATGCTGACTGTGAACCTTAATATTTTTTGGATAATTTTATTTTGATATAAATAGTTTCCTTTATAATCTAATGTATTTTATTTTATGCATTTATAAATATTATTCTGGGAAAGAGTGACTAGGGCTTCACTAGGTTGATAAAAGGGTTCAGGACACAAAGAGGACTAAGAATCCCAGATGGATTCCAACTCTTGATCTTTGTTACAGATAAGAAAAGTGAAGCCCCAGGAATTGACATGACTCACTCAAAGGTTACGCATGTAGGAAGATAAAGAACAAAGATTAAAAACCAGGTTATCTAGCTCCATTGCCAGAGCACTTTCTATTGGACCCCACAGAAGGCTGACTTCTAAATAGCTGCTAAATTGATATTCATTACCCACAGTCTGATGATCTCCTTTCCCTACTCAATAAATTTCATTGGCTCCCTAGGAAATACAAACACAAGGTCCTCATTCTAGCAGTCAAAATCCTTCACAACCTCGATCCATTTTATCTTTCCAGAAATCTCACATTTGTCATCATCCAGCCAAACTGGATTACCTGCCCCATACACATGACATTCTATCTCTTTCCTCTGTAAATTTGCACAGGCTTAGAATACCTGCACTTCCTGGTACTCAGAATAACTAGCAGCCACAACCTTCATAGTTGTTTCTACTTCCATTAACTCATCAGTAGAATGCAATGTCCTTGAGGGCAGTGACTTTTTTTTTTGTCTTTGTATGTCCAGCACCCAGCACAACACCGTGCTCATGGTACTTGCTTCAACATGCTTCTTGAATTGAAGAGAATTTATCTTCTCTGAGTCTTATGTTTCTGACCTATCAGATGGAAGGTTTGGACGCTAAGGTCCCTTCGAGTCCTAAGAGTCTGACTCTATAAATAGAATGCTTCTAATATGTGCTAGAAGTGACAGCTGGGAGGGTAGCCATCAGGGTCAGCACTCTTATGCAACCAGGATTTTTGCCAGGCTATGTTCGATTAGCCTCTTTTTTGAAACAGCTATAGGGTAACCACTAATTTTGAAGCCTTTTTACTCACTTTTTTGATTCTGCTGCCTATGCAGTTAAAGCTTAATTTATTCTTTAGCAAGTGTGAATAAGACAGGAAACTTGGCAAATGGATAGAGCAATAAGCCTGTAGTCAGGAATCCCTGGGTTTATACACCACCTGAGTCACTTATAAATGCAGCTATGCAACTATGGGCCAATGAGGTCCTCTCTGAACTTGAGGGAACTTTCTAAGACTTAGTTACTAGGATGTAAGCTAGTGGAAAACATATAAATGAACAATGCCCACAGAAATGTTATCAGGTAATCTTAAAACTGAGGATCATCAGATAGGTCTAGAGCTGGAAGGGACCTTAGAGGTCAACTGGTTCAACAATCTCATTGTATCATGGCAAGCATGGCCAGCTACTAGGTAAGGAAATAGCAGTGTTCATTCAAGGATCAAATTTAAACCAAGGTATCTAAGATCAAAGGCAGCTAGGTGGGGCAGTAGATAGGGTGCTGTGCTTAGAGTCAGGAAGGGTGATCTTCCTGAGTTCCAATTTGGCCTCGTACACCAACTAGCTATGTGACCCTAGGTGATTCATTTAACCCTGTTTGCCTCAGTTTCTTCATTTTAAAATGAGCTGGAGAAGTAAACGGCAAACCACTTCAGTCTCTTGGCCATGAAAATCCCAAGTGTGGTCATGAAGAGTCAGACAGAACTGAAAAATGACTAAATAACTAAGATAAAAATTAGCACGACTTTGCTAAGACCTTTGAAAATTAAGTTCACTTTTACTTTTTTTTTGGAGGTGGTCAGGAGGAATTGGGAGGCCTAGACTTATAATTTCTTTGGTGTCAGGTACTTCCTCTACCAATATAGATTGCCAACGGCTAGGCAATTTAGAGTTTAGAGCACAGTGTCAAACACAAGACTCCAACACTTCTGAGTGGGGCCTGAACTAGATTATAATGTAACTGGAACATATTCAG